GGCCGTGCCCGCTGGAGGAGCTGCTGGTGCTGCAGCCAGGAGAATTCCAGCTGGGAATTCCCAGATTTCCCTCTGAGATTTTTCCCCCAGTTTTCCCAGTGTGGAATTCCCATTTATCCCAGTGTGGAATTCCCATTTTCCCAGGCATTAATCCCCATTTTCCCACTGTGGAATTCCCATTTTCTCAGTGTGCAATTCCCTTTTTTCCAGGCAGTAATTCCCATTTTTCCAGGCAGTAATTCCCATTTTCCCACTGTGGAATTCCCATTTTCTCAGTGTGCAATTCCCTTTTTTCCAGGCAGTAATTCCCATTTTTCCAGGCAGTAATTCCCATTTTCCCACTGTGGAATTCCCATTTTCTCAGTGTGCAATTCCCTTTTTTCCAGGCAGTAATTCCCTGTTTCCCAGGCCGTGCCCGCTGGAGGAGCTGCTGGTGCTGCAGCCTGGAGAATTCCAGCTGGGAATTCCCGTTTGTCCCAGGCAGTAATTCCCCGTTTCCCCAGGCAGTAATTCCCAGTTTTCCATGTGTAATTCCCGTTTTTCCCCAGGCCGTGCCCGCTGGAGGAGCTGCTGGCCGGTGCCGGGGCCGAGCCGCGCGTGGAGGAGAAGGCGCTGCTGGGAATTCCCAGATTTCCTTGGGGGTTCTTTCCCCGTTTCCTCAGGCAGTAATTCCCGTTTCCCCAGGCCGTGATTCCCAGTTTTCCAGGCAGTAATTCCCGTTTGTCCCAGGCTGTAATTCCCAGTTTTCCAGGCAGTAATTCCCGTTTGTCCCAGGCTGTAATTCCCAGTTTTCCATGTGGAATTCCCGTTTTCCCAGGCCGTGCCCCCTGGAGGAGCTGCTGGCCGTGCCCGGTGCCGAGCCGCGCGTGGAGGAGAAGGCGCTGCTGGGAATTCCCGTTTATCCCAGGCAGTAATTCCCGTTTTCCCAGGCAGTAATTCCCAGTTTTCCATGTGTAATTCCCGTTTTTCCCAGGCCGTGCCCCCTGGAGGAGCTGCTGGCCGTGCCCGGGGCCGAGCCGCGCGTGGAGGAGAAGGCGCTGCTGGGAATTCCCAGATTTCCCTGGGGGTTCTTTCCCCATTTCCTCAGGCAGTAATTCCTGTTTCCCCAGGCAGTAATTCCCATTTTTCCATGTGTAATTCCCGTTTTCCCAGGCCGTGCCCCCTGGAGGAGCTGCTGGCCGGGGCCGGGGCCGAGCCGCGCGTGGAGGAGAAGGCGCTGCTGGGAATTCCCGTTTATCCCATGTGGAATTCCCGTTTATCCCATGTGGAATTCCCGTTTATCCCATGTGGAATTCCCGTTTTTCCATGTGTAATTCCCATTTTTCCCCAGTCCATGCCCCCTGGAGGAGCTGCTGGCCGGGGCCGGGGCCGAGCCGCGCGTGGAGGAGAAGGCGCTGCTGGGAATTCCCAGTTTTCCTTGGGGGTTCTTTCCCCGTTTCCCCAGGCAGTAATTCCCATTTTTCCATGTGTAATTCCCGTTCAAAATTCCCAAGGGTTTTCCCAAAATTCCCAAGGGTCTTCCCAAAATTCCCCAAAATTCCCAAGGGTTTTCCCAAAATTCCCCAAAATTCCCAAGGGTTTTCCCAAAATTCCCAAGGGTCTTCCCAAAATGCCACAAAATTCCCAAGGGTTTTCCCAAAATTCCCCAAAATTCTCCCAAAATTTTCCAAAAATTTCCCAAAATTCCCAGTTTTTCCAGTGTAAAATTCCCACTTTTCCAGGTGGAAATTCCCAGATTTCCAGGCAGGAATTCCCATTTTCCCAGTGTGGAATTCCCTGTTTTCCCATTTGGGAATTCCCACTTTTCCAGGTGGAAATTCCCAGATTTCCAGGGATGAATTCCCATTTTTCCAGGCAGGAATTCCCAGATTTCCCTGGAGGATTTTCCCCCATTTTCCCAGTGTGGAATTCCCATTTTCCCAGTGTGGAATTCTCATTTTCCCAGTGTGAATTCCCGGTTTTCCATTTGGGAATTCCCGGTTTTCCATGTGGGAATTCCCGTTTTCCCAGGCCGTGCCCGCTGGAGGAGCTGCTGGTGCTGCAGCCAGGAGAATTCCAGCTGGGAATTCCCAGATTTCCCTCTGAGATTTTTCCCCCAGTTTTCCCAGTGTGGAATTCCCATTTTCCCAGGCATTAATCCCCATTTTCCCACTGTGGAATTCCCATTTTCTCAGTGTGCAATTCCCTTTTTTCCAGGCAGTAATTCCCATTTTTCCAGGCAGTAATTCCCATTTATCCCAGTGTGGAATTCCCATTTTCCCAGGCATTAATTCCCATTTTTCCAGTGTGGAATTCCCATTTTCCCAGTGTGGAATTCCCATTTTTCCCGGTGTGAATTCCCATTCCCCCAGGCCGTGCTCGCTGGAGGAGCCGCTGGTGCTGCAGCCAGGAGAATTCCGGCTGGGAATTCCCAGATTTCCCTGTGAGATTTTTCCCGCAGTTTTCCCAGTGTGGAATTCCCATTTTCCATGTGGAATTCCGTGTTTCCCAGGCTGTGCCCCCTGGAGGAGCTGCTGGCCGTGCCCGGTGCCGAGCCGCGCGTGGAGGAGAAGGCGCTGCTGGGAATTCTCAGATTTCCTTGGGGGTTCTTTCCCCGTTTCCTCAGGCAGTAATTCCCGTTTCCCCAGGCCGTGTTCCGTGTTTCCCAGGCTGTGCCCCCTGGAGGAGCTGCTGGCCGTGCCCAGTGCCGAGCCCCGCGGCGAATCGGGGGAAAATCGGGGGGAAAATGGGGGGGAAAAAATCAGGCCAGGCTGTGTCCTGGCCGTCCCTCTCCCCTCTCACTCCGGTCCCTCTTCCCTCACTCCCGTCCCTCTCCCCTCACTCCGGTCCCTCTCACTCCATGTCCTTCACTCCTGTCCGTCTCACTCCCTCTCCCCCCTCACTCCTGCCCCTCTCCCCTCACTCCGGTCCCTCTCCCCTCACTCCCGTGCCTCTCACTCCGTGTCCCTCACTCCTGTCCGTCTCACTCCCTCTCCCCTCTCACTCCTGTCCCTCTCCCCTCACTGGGATCTCTCCCGGTGTGCCTCACTCCTGTCCCTCTCCCCCTGTCCCTCACTCCTGTCCCTCTCCCCTCACTCCTGTCCCTCTCCCCTCTCACTCCCTCTCCTCTCACTCCGGTCTCTCCTGGTGTCCCGCTCCCCTCTCACTCCCGGTGTCCCTCTCCCCTCTCCCTCTGTCCCTCTCCCCTCTCACTCCGGTCTCTCCCTGTGTCCCTCTCCCCTGACTGCGGTCTCTCCTGGTCCCTCTCCCCTCTCACTCCTGCCCCTCTCCCCTCTCACTCCTGTCCCTCTCCCCCCTCACTCCCTCTCCTCTCACTCCGGTCCTTCCCGGTGTCCCTCTCCCCTCTCACTCCGGGTGTCCCTCTCCCCTCACTCCGCTCTCTCCCTGTGTCCCTCTCCCCTCTCACCGTGGTCTCTCCCCGTGTCCCTCTCCCCGTGTCCCTCTCCCCGTGTCCCTCTCCCCTCTCCCTCGCTGACTGCGGTGTCTCCCCAGGGCGGTCTGGAGTCTCTCCCGGATCGCTTCCCGGCTCCGGCGCCGCCTCCCTCGCTGCTGCTGGAGCCGCGCCCGTTCCCGCCGCCCTTCCCTCCCCCCTCCT